CACTCCTTCCTTCCCACCCCTCTCTCTCTCTCCTTCCTTCCCGCAGTCAGAGGTTGAAGGACAAGGGAGAAAGGGGGAAGGACAGGGGGGAGAGACACAGGGGGAAGGCACAGGGAGGCGGACATAAGGGGATAGACAGAGGGAGAATGACACATGGGGAGACAGAACAGTTTGGGCTGACGCCGTGGGTTTAGACACAGGGGGAAGGACAGTGGTGCGACAAGAACGAAGGGGAAGGACGGCGGTGGAAAACAAAGGGGTAGGGACGGAGAGGGAGAGACAAAAGTCAAGTCGTAAACACCGAATCCCTCCTCTCTGCTTGCCCCCTCCCTCCTCCCAGCGCGCCCCCTCCCTCCTCCCTGCTTCCCCCATTCATCCTCCATGCTTGCCCCCTCCATCCTCCCTACTTGCCCCCTCCCTCCTACCTGCCTCCCCCATCCCTCCTCTCTGCTTGCCCCCGATCCACCATCATCTCTCCCCTTGCTCACCCAACCCACTCAGGAGATCTGTGTGCTCGTATGCAGCAGCCGGTGCTGTTGTTCGGGGAGGTGGGTCCAGAGCACCTGCCACTCTTACAGAAGCATGGTTTTCACATGTTTATGTGTACAGAAGCATGAGGAGCAAAACTCTACGCAGATAGCGACAGCACTGATTGCTACTGGGGTTGGCATTAGTATAACTTGTCACATGCATGGTGGACCGGCGCCTGTTCGCAGGGCTAATTTGGGTCGCATGTGTAACTGCCTAAATTGTCTATTGCAACTATAATATGTACGGTACAAGCGGGCCTTCAAGCGATCGATATGCAGATTGGTGCGGACTTGATGATCAAAGAATGAAACAACTCGTTGAGTGAACTCGATGCGCCATGCACAAACAATTCCACCTTCTCAGGGCTTAAGTGCTTGGAGAACCACGCACGAACCGCCTTGTGTGTCGATGACCCAAACTCGTAAATGGCATGGTCCTTGCCCCACCCCTCTCTGACGCACTGAGGTGGGGTATCTCCTACCCCAGAACATCCGGAGTGGTCACCTGCCCAGTGGTTGGGCGGGCTCCCAAGCTCCCTCGCCACGTCGGCAGGGGTCATAGGATGCCCGTCTTTCTTCTTCGCACCACATCGCATCATCACGTGATAGAAATGTGAGGATAAGTGTTGTGCCACCGTTTGTTCTTCCTTGCCAGAATCGATCTGATCTTCACCTCGTTTCCGCTTTCGGCGACCAGTCCACCGAGGTAGTGTCTCGGGCTCGCTGAACGCATTCGGGTTCTGCACTTCGGTATCAGCTCCGCCTCCATCAAGCGCATTTGTGAATGTTAGAAAATGAAAGCCAAGAACTGAGTATGGAGATGCACTTGGATCAAGCATGCTCAAAACTTGGGAAGAGGGTGCTCGCATACCGGTCCCCGTGTCTAGGTTGGCCCAAGGGGTGGATCCACCAATGAAATGGGAGTTTCCGTGCTCGCCAAAGATGCCGGTCGCGCACCCTGCGTCGGGTGCACATCATAACTCCATAGCTCCTCCACGTCCTCCCACTGCACGTCAACGTTCCACTCCTCCGTTGTTGGCACGTCCACGGCAGCCCGCTCGGCTCCCTCATCCCGCTCGCGCATCAGCATCAGAAGCACCCGGCACCTCACCGTAGTTCACAGGCACCTCCACCGTACTACACTCCCCCCCCATCCGCACCACCTTTCTTAGCTCAGGAAACTTCCATTTCGCCTCTTCCGGGGTCATCTTCTTGTAAACAATCGTGCCCATGGCTTCACAAACTGCTTTCACCAAAGCCTCTTTCAAAGAAGCTTTCACCTGCTTCGCCAACCCCCGTGATGTCAGCCATTGCCGTAGCCCATCGATAGTCGCAAGCCATAGATCCTCAACGCAGCTCGCCTTGTGCACCGCCGCTGGTGCACGGACCGCATCCTGGAGTTCTTTCAAAAACAACTTGTACAGAGTCTGCTTCACATGCCACCAGTCCACCTGGTGGTTCAATCCCCTTTCGGACGCTGCGCCACAAAAAGTAGTCCCTTAGTCAGAGATGATCCCCTCCACCACAAATCCTTTCTGCGCCAGTTCATCTAACCCTTTATCGAAAGCCACCCTTTCCAGCCGCACCGCAGAAGTGTCGTCCACCCCTTTTCGTGTCGTGGCACAGTACATTATCTTCCTAGACGGTAAATCTAAGGAACGATACTGTACACCACTCTCCCTCACGAACATGTGACCATCGACCATCGACCACTACATATTCTGTAGGGACTTCTCGTTTCGTCATCTCTTCCGCGCCGACGCTGGCCCATACTTCGCCTTCCACACCTCCAGCGACAACGCCTCGTAGAAGATCACCTCGACCGACGTGACCACCTTGTTGTTGGTCAGGTCGAGCACCTCCCCGCCCTTGCTCTCCGGCGACACACCTAGGTGAAGCCCCCAACGAGCCTTCGGCGCCAGCTTCCCACCGCGCTGCTGCTCGGGAACCATGAACTGCACCATGCAGCCCCACACCCGCGCTACCGTAAGGTCCGGCTTCTGCCCGGTCAGCAGCTGGTACGGATTCGTTCCAGGCAGCGTCGTCGACTGCTCCAAGCAGTTGCGCACCCAGACTGCTTGTCGTAGAGCAAGGTGCCACCAGTGGTGCTGCACGCCCATGTGCAGCAGCATCGTCCGCACGGACTCGACGACCGTGCGCATCTCCCACTCAGCCATGCCATTCTACTGCGGAGTGTAGGGGCACGTCAGATCGTGGACGATGCCCTTCCTGTTGACGAAGTCGGTGAACGCCTTCCCGAGGAGCGAAGCGACAGCACCGACTTCTTTGTCTGACGTTCCACCAGCACCAAACACCACTGGAGCTCCCGCAACACATCGCTCTTCTTAGCTACCAGCATTGCCCATACCAATCGAGTACGGCGATCCTTTAGCAGCAAGAAGTACAAGCTGCCATCCTTGGCAGCCACCCAAAATGGCCCGCACAAGTCAATGTGCACGACAGCCAGTGCCTCCGCTGCGTCCGAGCCCTTGGCGGGGAAGGTGTGTCGCGCCAGCTTTCTTTCGATGCACGAGACACACAGCGGGTCTGCTCTGGTCGACGACGTGATGTCGAGCCCAGTACCAACATCATGCTTCGTCGAGCTCTTGATCGTGTCAACGCTGACGTGGGCGAGCCGCGCATGCATCCTATTGGGGGTCGTCTTCGTCGCCGAGACGATCGTTCGTAGAGCCACCACCTCGGTCGACTGCGACTGCATCGAGCAGGGGCGAAGGTCGGTGCAGATGACTCGTCCGGTGTAGCGTGCTCGACCGAGCACCTCCTCGGTCGTGGCGATGAGAAGCATCTCGTCGCCATCACCCTGCAGCAGCACTCCGCTCTCCTTCAGCTGGCCAGCAGACAGCAGGTTCGCCTGTACGCCCGGAACGTAGAGTACGTCGGGGATGAGGACCCGTTTCCCGGCCTCCCCTTGCAGAGCGACGGTTCCGCGACCCTCGACACGCTGCAATGTCTGAACCCACGCACGTGCTTCACCCCGTCGCTCGGCCCCATATCGACGAAGACCAACTTCGTCCCCATCAGGTGGTGGGAGCACCCGCTGTCGAGCAGCACCGCTATCGGGTTGGCCTGCACAGCTGCCGCCACTGCCTGGAAGTCCTCACCAGCCTCTGGCGCCAGCGAGACCGTCGGCTCCACCACGCCGACCATCGAGCACGACGCCTCACCGTCGCCTCGGCTCTTGCCGCAAGAGCTGTTGACGTCCTTCGTCGACGACGTCTTCTTCGACGCTTGCTTCTCCTTGCGCGGCTTCGCATCTCGACAGGGGCGACGTCTGGCTGATCGACCATGGCCTCCCTTGTTGTTGTCCTCGTCGCTGTCATCTCGGTCGGGGCACTCGAAGGAGAGATGGTCGGGGTCGCCGCAGATCCAGCACTCCCGCCGTCGACCACCACCTCGTCGACCCTTGTCCCGCATCGACCGCTTCTCGTTGACGTCCTTCGTCGACTGCCCACCTCCACTACCACCTCCGCCCGGCTTCCCGCGCTGCCCTTGCTGCTGATTCAGCTTCGTTGGTGCAGCGTAGTTTGCCTGCGGAAGGAGCTCTGTGGGCTGTTCGGCTTCCTGCATCGCCTCATCTTGAAGAATGTAGCTGGTGTTGGAGTCCTCGTCGAGGGACTCACGCGTGCCGGGCACCATCAATATCCTCTTCATGAGATTGTAGCTGCGCGGCAAGCCCTTAACGATGTGGGTGATGTAGGACGCCGTCGAGTATTCGGCGCCCGCCATCCGCATCTCAGCCTGGATCCATCGAGCACGGTTGCAGTAATCCGTCGCCGACTCCTGCTCGCCCATCCGAATGTGAGTCATCTTCTCCTCTAGCTGTCCGATATACAGGTCGTCCCTGGCCTGGTACGTCGACAAGATGAAGCGCAATGCTTGGTGTCACCGCATATGCACTTAATGCATATGCAATAACAGTAGAATGATGGTGGAGCGTGGGTGCCATCCTAAGTCCATAGGAAGATGAGATAGGAATAAGAATATAGGTAATAGGTGTAGGATGTAGTAAAGTTACTGTTAGGAGCGAGGGTGTAGAAGGGGGGAAACAGGATAAGAGCGGTTGAGATAAAAAGGGGGAAAGAATCCGAAAGGCGAAATGTGAAACCAACGAGCCCCAACCCCGAGCCGCACATTTTGGAAATGTGCAGCCAGGGGTGGGGTAAGGTCACTCACCTCCAACCCATCGATGCTTTCTCGCTAATATTCCATTGCACTAGTGAAACTGATTGTCTCAGGCTCTAGCACACGACAGCACGACACTAATAGGGAACCTACGGGGTGAGAGATCAGGCTCTTTCATATTAGCGAGAAAGGCGGACACGGGGGCTAGGACTGTAACTTCCTAGCGCGAACGAGATGGATCGATACGAGCTGCGCTGGGGTAGGGCGTATAGCCGACGGGAGGAGGAACGGGAGCGCCGAGAGCCGTCACGAGAGCGTGGGCGATCCATGGAGCGATCGCCACGCCATCCCGCCTTCCGCGCTGATCAGGTCCCTGTCGTGAGGGACGGTCGAGTAGCTGATGCGCGAACGAATGACGAATGACACGCCGAACGCGCGGATCGAGATGCATGGCTCCAGGAGAGCGGACGCGGACCTGGCGCGGAGGGCGGAAACCACCGCGGCGGAAGGGTGTTCCGCTCCCCGGAGGAGCGCGGACGACGTCGCGGCGAGAGAGGGCGGTGGTTGGCGTTCGGCGAGCAGTCTCGCGGACAAGGAGGGAGCGGCGGCAGCGTCGCTCGCGGAGAGAACTCGCCGCACAATGCGGTTCGAGAAGAGACGCCGGAGCAGGGCATGGAGGACAAGGAAGAAGGATCGGAACGGCCAGACGAGGAGGCAGGGATAGAAGGGGCGAATGAGGCGCGAACAGGAGGAACGGGCGATGCGGAAACCGAGCCGGCGGAGGCGCAAGCGGAGACGAGCCCGGTGGCGGTCGCGGAATTAGAGGCTCCGCCACCGGGATCGCGCGGTCGAGACGATCCCTACGAGGATGGGCGGCGCACGGAGAGCTCCGGACGACAGGAGCTGGGCGGGCCAGAGATGAGCCATCGAGCATGGCAGGCGCCAAATTTGCGCGACAAGGGAAAGGAGGAGCGGTCCCGCTCGGCGGAGAGGGAGCGGCGCCTCGTGGGAGGGCGCGTGGGCGAGTTCCGCCCGCGTGGCGAGTGCCAGGAGCAGGGAGAGTGGAGCGGCGGCGCTTCGCATTCGGCAGGACGGCAGCAGCCGCGCGGGGAGAGGGGGCGAGAGACGGAAACAGCGCCGCCAAAGTGGCACGGTCAGCAGCAAGGGGGACGCAGCAGCACCATACGCTCGCCAGGCCGGACTAGGCAGAGGGAGCGGAGAGACAGCAGCTGGTCCCGCTCGCCGGACGGACAACACACGCGCAGGGAGAAGTACGCGGGGGAGCGGTCACCGTGGCGTCAGCCGCGCACTTGGAGTGAGTACCTGGACGCCTAGTCACCATCGCCAGAGAGGCGGCCGCAGCGTGAGATGAGCAGATGGGAGGAGCGGGAGGTGCACGGACCGCCGACGGTGCAGTGGGGACGGACAGAGGGGCGAGGAGAATCGAGGGAGAGGCGGTACGAGGCAGGCGGGAGCCGCCAAAAGAGAAGAACGGAAGGCGGAACTCTGGCACAAGGAGCAGAGCGGGCGCGGGAAGCTAGAGAGGGCATGCAGAGAGCACGGGTGAGGGGAACAGAGAGGAGTCGGCAGGAAGGGGCCAGCGAGGCATGGGGAGAGGGGCGTGGGGGCAGCAACGGCGCCCCACGGGTGGAGGTGCCCGCCAGATTCTCAGGTGACCAGCGTGCAGGACCGACCCTCAAGAACTACCTCATGCACGTGGGGAATGTGCGGTACCGCTGCGACCGGCACCACATGGATCCAGTAGACTTCTTTCTGAGCCTGCCGAACACGCTCGAGGGAGAGGCCGAGACGCTCTACCGTATGAGGATGGAGGAACTGCTGTGGAGGGCGGGGAGGTACGGCGAGGACCCCACCGAGGCATTCCTCGAGAGGCTGCAGCGGCAATTCCCAGGGCACACGGCCGAGCGCATAAGGGAGTTCCAGGAATTCAGCAGGGGCAGGACTGAATCATTGCTGACCTATTACAACCGGCTGATAAATGTGGCGGAGGACGTGAGATGCACGGACAGCAGCCTTCTCGTCAGCAAGTTCCTGGGGGGCTTGGACGAGGCCTTAGGAGGGGGGCTGAGGATGAGGGTGTATGAGCTCGGAGCGGATGCAAGCCTGGAGGAGGTGTTTACCTTGGCGGAGAGGGTGGAGCTCGCGCAAAGGAAATTCGAGGCATATCTCCCCAGGCCAGCAGAGAGGAGTAGGCGGCCAACGTGGGCGGCGGCCATAATACCGGGAGGAGGAGGGAGAACAGAGGGACGAGGGGAGACTGGGGCGGATACCAGGACATGCTACAGGTGTGGACAGCCAGGCCATCTGCGCAGGGACTGCAAAAACTGTGATGGGTGCGGGAAGCCGGGGCATAGGAAGCGGGAATGCCCGGATGCAGCCCGGTGTGAAATCTGCAAAAGGCAGGGACATGAGGCGAAGGATTGCTACCAGAGGGAAGGGGGGAGTGGGAGGCATTCAAAGGAGCTGCAGCGGCAGATTAACAGGTTGCAGGCACAGCTGAGGGCAACAGGGCTGAAGGGGGAGGCGGAGGCAGGAATGTACGCGGGAGAAGGGGGGGGAGAGGAGGTGGAGCAGGACGTGCAGTGTGCTCTCATGGCATGGAGGGGGAGAGAGGAGATGGGGCTGAGATTCGGGGGAAGAGATGGCAGGCGAGAGCAAGGAAGGAAGGAGCAGGTGAAGGGAGAAGCGCCATCCGAGCCGGCCCAAGAGCCAGCCCCCGCACGCCACCCCCAAGAGAGGCTGGCATGCCAGACCTCGGTGCTACTGCTTGAAAAGGGAGCCATGGAAGTGGAGGGAGTGAAAATAACGACAACCATCATAGATACGGGGGCACAGAGCGTGATGTTGGGCAGAGGGATGGCTGAGAGGCTGGGACTGCTGGCTCCAGAGAGGCACGTGGCCAAGGGGATGTTGGTGATGACAGCGGAAGGGGGGGAGCCGAAATGGATGCCATGCACACGGACGCCCATAGAAGTGACGCTGCTACCGGGGGGGACACATGAAACCAAAATCCGCATGAAGTGTGGGATTTCCGAGTCAGAGGACTTCAATGTGCTGGTGGGCACCAAGCTGGTGTATGCGGTAGGAATGACCATCTGCACTTGGATGGAGAGGGTGGAGTTTAGGACCAGATACTGGAAAAGGGAGGGGCCGCTAGGAGAACTGCCAATGCGATTCGTGAAGGTGGAGCCGAAGAGAGCATACCAGGCCATGGGGAAGCGGCTGCCAGGGGAGCAAGGAGGGCTGCCGGGGAGGGGAGGAGAGCCTAGAATGAAGAGGATGGACAAGCCGCAGCAGCAGAGTGATTGGCAACAGCCCATCCACTTGGTGGAGTTATTTGGGGGGATAGGGGCAGGGCTGTCAGCAGTGGTGAGGAATGGGATAGCAGTGAAGAGATGGACATATGTGGAGAAGGAACCCAGGGTAAGGAGGATGGCGGAGCACCATGCCAAGAAGCTGCAAGCGGAATTCCCGGACCTGCTGAGTGAGGAGGTGATCAGCAAGGCGATGGGGGGGACGATTCACGATGTGAAAGACATAGGCGAGGCCGAAGTAGCGAGCTGGGGGCAGGTGGATCTGCTGGTGGCAGGGTGGGAATGCCAAGGGGTGTCGTGGGCAGGCAGGGGCAAGGGAGGAGAAGATCATAGGACGGGGCTGCTGGAGGATCTGTTTCGAATCATGGAGTGGCTGCAGGAGAGGCAGGGCAGGGTGGCATACTTGCTGGAGAACCTGGACCTGGAGGGGGATAGCAGAGAGCCAATCCGACTGGTGAGGGACAGGATCAGGGGACAACTGGGAGAAGGGGTGAGCTGTGATGCGGCCAGAATGGGGTCCTACGCGCACAGGCTCAGAATGTACTGGCAGAATGTGGTCCCTGCCGAGCATCTGCAGGCAGAGATGGAGGGGGTAAGGCGAGCAGCAGAAAGGAAGGTGAAGGACATCCTGGAACCAGGGCGGACCCCAGCACCAGTGTGTCACAAGAGCTACAGCAGGCACGAGCAGTGCAACCAAGTGGGGCAGGAGAGGAGGGCCCTGCCCACGCTGGTGGCGTATGTCGGGGCAGCAGGGTACAGGTGGGAAGCAGGGAAGCCGGGGCCAGGAATGGTGTATGACCACAAAAAGGGGAGATGGGAGGAGCCCACGGCACTGGAGCGGGAGCTGGCTATGGGATACGAGGAAGATGCAACAGCAGCGCCTGGGGCAAGTGAAGCGGACAGGAGGAGGGCTCTGGGGAATACAATGGATGGCCACGTGATGAGGTGGCTGATTAAGCGGATGTGGCGGGAGACGGTCATGAGCTGGGGGCAGGCGGAAGAGAGAGGAAGGATGGAGGCGGAGCCACGAGGTGCATGGAGCTGCCAGGAGAAGGAGGAGGGGAGCTGGGTGGTGGGGGAAGCGATGAGCAAGGCGGGAAAGGAGGCCATGCAGGAGCTGCTCGCCAGGCACAGGAAGTGCTTTGCCTTCACCATGCAGGAACTGGGAAGGTGCAAGGTGAAGGAGATGGAGCTGAAGCTGAGCAGCACAGAACCAGTGTTCCAGCGCAGGAGGAAGATGCCGCCTGGGGATGAGGAGATCTGCAAGGAGAAGATCAAGGAGCTGCTGGAAGCAGGACTGATTAGGAGATCGGAGTCTGAGTATGCCACACCCACAGTGGTGGCAGCCAGGAGAGACCTGACAGGGGAGGTGCTGAGCAGGAGGATGTGTGGAGACTACAGGGCACTCAACAAAATCACCGTAGCAGACAGGTACCCGATGCCGATGGCAGAGGAAATCTTTGACAAACTGGCAGAGGGGGTGTTCTTCACTACGCTGGACCTGCGGCAGGGGTTCAACCAGATAAAAATCAGAGAGGAGGACGTTAGGAAGACGGCCTTTCATGGGCCAGACGGGCTGTACGAGTGGTTGTACATGCCGTTTGGACTGAGGAACGCATCAGCAGTATTCCAGAGGGTCATGGACAGCGTGCTGCGGGGAGTGGAGTGCGCAGCCTGCTACATTGATGACGTGGTGATCTTCAGCACCACAGAGCAGCAGCACCTGCAGGATGTTGAGCGGACCCTAGCGGCGGTTGAAGAGGCGGGACTCACCTGCCATCCGAAGAAGTGCAGATGGGGGGAACAGACAGTGCAGTACCTAGGGTATGAGGTGAAAGGGGGACAGATAGGGATCCAACAGGCCAAGGTGGAAGTCCTGGACAGACTGAGGGAGCCGAGGGACAAGTCAGGGCTGAGAGCAGTGCTGGGCTTCTTGAGCTACTACAGGCGGTTTGTGCCCAACTTCAGCAAGCGAGCAGCAGTGTTGAATGTGCTATTGCGGGAGGACCAGGCGTGGGAGTGGGGGGAAGCACAGAAAGGGGCGCTGCAGAACCTGATGGCAGCAGTGAAGACCGCGACGGTGCTCAAGCTGCCCGCCGCTGATCAGCCGTTCACGCTCTACACCGATTGGAGCAGCCAAGGGATGGGAGGGATCCTCTGCCAGGAGGTAGAAAGAGAGGAGAAGGTAGTGGCATATGCGAGTAGGAGCTGCAACTCGGCAGAGGCACAGTACAGCTCCTACATCGGAGAAGGGTTGGCAGCCGTATGGGCAGTAGGGCATTTCAGGGTGTACCTGCAGGGGAGAAAATTCACCTTAGTAACTGACCACCAGCCCCTGACGTGGCTGATGTCAACCCCAGGACTGACGGGCAGGAATGCAAGATGGGCGATGAAGCTACAGGAGTATGACTTCAAGATCAGGCATAGGCCAGGAAAGACACTGCAACACGTAGATGGCCTCTCACGGAACCCCCCACCGCTTGAGCCCACCGTAACCTTGACACTGCTGGCCAGATTGGTGGAGCAGAACGGGGCCAAGGAGGGGAAGGGGCCAGCAGGCATATAGGAGGACGGGCCGGCCCTGCGATGGGTAAAGGGAGAGACGGGAGAGGATGAAGAGCTACCGGCACGAGTAAGGGCAAGGGGCCAGCACTACCGGTGGTATCAGCAGCAGTTGCAGGTGCAGACAGAGGACGGATGGAAACTGGTGCCAGCTCCAAGTGAGAGGGGAGCGGTGATTAAGGAGGTCCACAACAAGCTAGGGCACTTTGGGCACGAAAGGACAGTGCAGCTGTTGAAGACAGGGTGGTGGTGGGAGGGGATGCGGAGGCAAGTAAAGGGGTGGGTGGAGGGCTGTGAGGCATGCCAAAGGAGCAGGGCAAACCTCACCCAAGCCAAGGCGGAGTTGCATTCGCTGCCCATCCGAGGCCTCGGCTTCCGATGGTCCTTAGACCTGGCGGGGGAGCTGCCACTGAGCCGTGGGGGGAAGCAGTACATAGT